GACTGTGGAATTTTTAATAAATTAATATAGGTACTTAATATACTATAAACTACCTATAATGTATACTATATTATACTTATTACTATAAGTAAAACATATTACTTATATATATATATATATATATATATATATGGTAGGTAACAATGGTTAATTTATGTTTGGATGACTTATCACTTATCGCTTTAACGATAAATTATTTACTTAAAAATACTTTACCAAAGTAATATAGGTACCTATTTGCATTATTATTTATTAAGGATGTGTAGTTCATGAGTGAGTTGACTCAAATAGTCAACTCTTTTCAGTGAATTGAATAAATTGAATCAATGTGTCGCAAATCAGTAACTCGGCAATTCAATACTACCAAGTACCAACACTTGGTTAAAATATGATTTGACTTATCAATTGAGAATTGAGAGTTGACTTGGTGAATTTGTTTATTAAAGTGAATTGAATTGAGTGAATCGATTCATCCAAATGAGTCACAATCAGGGGTGGATCTAGAGGGGGGCGAATGAGGCGATCGCCCCCCCCCCCTCCGGTCACCGTAGCAAACTTTAGTTTTTGATATAATTACTTCAAGAGTAAATAGGGAAATCTTAAACTTTTTTTTATATCAAACTTATACTGGTACTGTGTTATCACTTATATTTATTATTGGGTGATATACTGATATCACAGTTATATATTATTATCATGATGTTAAATATTCGTAACCAAGTTTTGTGTTTGTCGGTGTTTCCGAATGAATGGATCTTCGCAGGAAAAAATGTTTGTGTCCGTATATAATATTGCCTACATTTAGCCCCTTTTTTGCAGCTATCAAAATGTTATAACATTGATAAAACAATAACATAAAATTTATTATATTAGTTTTATATATTGCTAAATTCAAATTAAAATAGTTAAATAAATTTAACAATACACAATTCGAGAAAAAAACACAATAACATAATTTGAAATTTAAAAATACACAATGCATTGCGTATACTTCAAGCGAAAATGTAATACAAATGTTACAATTAGGTTTAATATTTTGTATTTTTGTTATAAAAGCGTACCTTACTATTTAAAGTTTAAACCATGGGTCCCATCAACACAAATTTAGTCATTTCCCGATACAAAAATCATCTTTTCCTAAATTTGTGGCAAAATCATCTTTACTACACTATTTAAAATACAACATTAGATTATTAATACATTTTACTAACTATTTGGCCCATAACACTCAGACTATAAACATTTCAATGTTGTTCCTTCCACAGAATCTTAGACATCATTTAAACCCTTTGAATATGAACCAGTATAGTTGATAGTATAGTATTAAATAAAATAAAATAAGCTACCTGCCAATTTTGCTCTATCAGCCGTAGTAAACCTTAATTTACCAATTTAATTTTGGTGCTATAATTGAGTATTGCTGTATCTCACAATTAATTCATTGTTTTCGTTTAACAAAGATTAAAATATGGTACTTTGAACTTAGAGGTATGGAAAAATATGTAATAATATGTAATAAAATAATAAAAATGTTATATTTTTTATTACTTTTGAATTGTACCTTTTAAATGACGATCTTAAGTGAATATTGTATTTTTTTTCGCATTGTGTATTATTACATTTATTTAACTAGTATTGTATTTAAATATTTTAATTTAAATTTAGCAATACCTATATAAAATTATTATAATAAAAATTATGTTTTCGTTTTATTAATATTATCATATTTTGATAGTTGCAAAAACGGGGCCAAATATAGGCAATATTAAATACGGACACAAACAATTTTTTCCTGCGAAGATCCATTCGTGTTTCTGAAACGTGATAACTGATGACTATCAACGTGAAAATCGTTCAGCATCTCCATAATCAACAAATTTGTAATTATAAACTCTATTGTTATGACACATATTGGTATAACAAAAAATTATTATTATTATTATTACTGTATAATTTTATTTTTAAAACTTTTTTTATTTAAATAAATAACCTATATCAAAATTAATATTTTTAATATTATCTATATAAATATCTATATCATATTTCTCCGTTAAAAATCCCCCCCCCCCCCCATTGCTCGACTTGGCAAAATTAAAGAAGGAGGACTCTATTTACTTTAAAAAAAAGAACGTCCCCAAAACTAGCTAAGCGTTATGATTATAGCGTAATAATAGTAGGGGGACGCTAAAATTTCTGAAAATTAGTTGGGGTATTCCGTCTCCTGCGTCCCCCCTCAAGTCGAGCACTGCCCCCCCCCCCCGGTTATCATGGTCTGGATCCGCCCCTGATCACAATTCCCATCTTTACTAATTGTACATATCTGTGTCTATAATATTATCATGTAGCGGTTTTTCGTGGCATAAATTCAAAATGTTTGATCATAGAATATTCTGTTATAATATATTGATAATGATGCACAACCAACAAAAATGGCGCCGTGGATGAGAAATACGTATCAGTTGATAAAATTCATTATTTTGGTTCAATTAAATTGAATGAATCAATTCAGTGATTCAATGAACTACTCAGGCCCGTACTGGTCTACCAGAACACCGGGAGTTTTCCCGGTGCGCCCCATATTCAATTGAGAAATTAGCGCCCATTTGCCCTTTTTTATATCATTCTATTTACTATATAATATTAGAGCAGAGGTTCTCAACCAGAGTGCCACGGCACCCTAGGGTACCGCGAGATTAAATTTAGGGTGCCGCAAAAATATTTGAAATCTATAGATCGCTGGTTCAAATCCGGGCTGAAGGACCAAAATGTTTCGGATTAACTATGGTTGACGGAGATTTAAAACTCACAACAACATAAAATAAATAATAGTTGATAATAATATGGTAACTGATGGTGAGATTTGGTAGATGATATAGATATAAATAAAATAATAAACTAAATTTGTATAATAAATCACCGGTGGCACACAAATATAATAATTTAAAATAGAACAATCAACAATAAATAAATAAAATAATAATATACTCGTATAAGAAAAACTCACAATTTTGTGGAGCACCGCTGGCCAGCTGCTGCCTGAGCTAAATAAAATAATAATAATAATCCAAAAAAAATAAACGATACAAGACAAAATTTAAATATTGGCTATTAGAGCCGATTAACAATAAATAATAGTAATAAATTTATAATTAAAAGAGATGGCTTTTTAAGCCTTACAGCAATAATTAAGTTTACAAAGATGAGCCTCAATGGCACGAGAATAAAAATTACAATTTAACAAGTATTAGCCGCAATGGCGTAACATAGAAATATTGTAGTAATTAATAGCGGCAATGGCGTAAAACAATATATTATGATTGCACAATTAATAAATACAAATCCAAGTAGTTCGCACAATGTGAGACTAAAAGGAAAAACGATAAAAAATCACAACAAATATTGGTATCAAAAAATAAGTATACAAACGAAAAAAATTGTATTTGTGCAAAAACGACGATGATTAAATACAAAATAACAACAGTCGGTCGTTGGCCGACGACGAACGGGTGAAGACAATAAATATGACGACGATAAAATATATAATATACGTGATAATTTAATTTTAATAATATATTATATAATAAGCAATTGAATGAAGCACGATAGTGAATGAGGGAAACAAAACAGATAAAATCGGCAGTCGCCGTGCTCATTAGCATAATAATAACAATAATAGGTATACATAATACAATAATAATAATTTTAATAATAATTATAATATGGTGACAATTTCGGCTCAAACAATATATTTATTTTTAAACGCCTTCATGAAAAATATAGCACTGTGAGTAATAAAACTATAGTATATAACCTATTGTGTATAATTAATCAAGTATATACAATATAATTTAATGAATTAATTATTAACACATATAATTTTTACATAGTAATACTGAGATGTTCAATCTATTTTAATTTTCATACTGGTTCAATTGCTATCGATTTGATGTGAACTATTTTAAAGTTATTTACGGTGAAATACTAGTGACTTTATCTTATCTTTATTATTTATTAATGCTAAATAAAACCGAAGTTACAAAATATAAATTTAAATATACGATATATTAGTATTGCGTATTCAGTATAAACTATAGAGCAGCGTTTCTCAAACTGTGGGTCGTGAGTCAATTTTTAGGGGTTCGCTAGAAGTTTTTTTAATTATACAGATTGTAAGAAACAAGTACATTCATCACATACGCCTAATTATTAATTAAGTATTATATTATATACATTATATTATATTATATTATTATTATTATAAATATATTATTATTATTATTATTATTATAAAGTAGTAAATAAGTAATAAAATAGAAAAAATTTGTTTTTTGAAATTATTTTTATTGATTCTGTAAATGTAAAACTATGGTCATGATAGATTTTTGGAAGAAAATTTGGGTCGCGGTTCTAAAAAGATTGAGAACCACTGCTATAGAGTATAGGCCATAGGCTATCGGGTGCCTCCACGTTTTTAGAAAATAATAGAGTGCTGCGAGTCAAAAAAGGTTGGAAATCTCTGTATTAGAGTGTACCTATTTTATATGTGTGTATTATATTTTGTAATTATTATGCATAGGTACTACTACTATTACCACAGACTGTGCTATAACCATCGAGATAAAGAATACACAGATAAAGTATATTCTTTATCTCAATGGCTATAACTGTATTTCACGGTTAAAGATATACTTTATATCTTTAACCGTGCTGTATTTATGTAAATCATTTTTTTGTTATCATTCATGATATTAACTATAAACAAGGTGGATATATATCCACCTTGACTATAGATGACTTGTAAAATCCGAACGCCGTTATCAATGTAAGAAGTGTGTGTACATTTATTATTGTTTTTATTTCGGTTTTTCCATAGAACACCCATCTAATAACACAGGCATTAAACAAAGTGGATGTGATCCACTTTGGCATTTAATTATATAAATATACCTATGAAATAGGTCGTAATTTTGTTTTGATAATAATATTTTATCATAATGGAAAATAATATTGTCTTATTTCTTCGTGAATCATCGTCAAGTGACAACCACAACTGCATAAGAGATTGGTAATACGATTCACTGCCTATAAGGTAAGACTCGTAAGAGTAAACTTAAAATTAATTAAGAAGTTGTTCATGTGCATTACAAACTATGCGATTCGAACGTGGACGTCGAAGTTCTTACAACGTCGTGATTAATTGCTTAGAATTAAACATAATTGTAACTTTTATCACATGCTCTTATTGTATCTAACTATTGATACAGATAATTTATTACTTATAAAAATAAAAATTAATAAAATAATTAAACATACAAGTAGGTACATACATAATATTATATGTATACCCACATATGGTTCACATTGACAAAATAGTAGGTCGTTCTGTCGCGTTGAATCGCACTATAAGTTATAGTTTAATTTTTGATAAACACTCTAAAATGAAACCATGTATTTCCAATGTTATTCCCACTTGAACGTCACATTAATTGATTATTTTACAATAGTTTTAACTTATAAAATTACCAAGTTTTTTAGAATGTCGAATCGCCTAATGAGTAATTTGTCATGTAGGGTGATCATCGATGGTAGACCCACAGGGGGGAGGTTAACCCCCACATCAGGAAAAATATAAATTAAAAATCAATTTTATGAATTAAGAAAAAGATTTTTTTTTTAAAGTATGAGGGAAAGTACCTATATAATTTGTATTTTTATTTGTACAAGAAAATAGTAGTCTTAGATGTAAATTAATGTATTATATTACTTACTATTATCTTAATTCATTATTAATAACTGACTGCAATGTTACAAAAAATATCCCAAGGGAAAACATTTTTCAACCCTCCTTCCAAAAAAAAAAAAAGAAAAACTTAGATCCGCCACTGGTGACCATACGTCCCGTTTAAAACGGGATTGTCCTTTTTTTATCATTATGTCCCGTTGTCCCGAAAAACTTTGAACGGGACGCTTTTTGTCCCGTTTTAATCTCGTTACTTCCATAAAAATTGTAAACCGAGAATAAAAGAAAAAAAAATAAGACACGTCATATAGTATACATGTATATATGTACTACGAACTCATGTACGAAACTTCTAACGAAATCGATATTAATACGAATAGTTTACCAATAAACAGTACTAATTCATCAGAGAAAAAAGGGAGAAGACAGTTCAACATTTATTTATTTATTTATTTTTTATTCATGGTATTGCTTCAACAACATGGTTATTAGCTTACAGAATAATAATTAGAATATGTTAAAGGAAAATTATTATTTAATAGAATTATACATATTAATTGATTTAAAAAAAGTCTTGTTGAGGTTATTCTTGTTTGATCCTAGGGCTTCATGCATGTTGTTCAGGATTTTATGATTATATCTTTCTTTTGTATAGGCTCGACAGTGGATGAGCAGATGTTTTACTGATAGAAGTATTCCAACATTTATTGTGTGGTGAATAATTTAAAAAAAGAAAAATTGAAGTAAATGAAAGACGATGTGTGTTATTGTAGATTATTGAAGTCATAAAACTAGCAGGGAATCAAAAAATCAGGGATTACCATTTAAAGGTGAAAAATGTGAAGCAGCGTATAAATTAGACCATTCCTCGTTGAACCATGGCAATTTCTTGGAAATCATTTTATTATTGTCGAAATATTATAATATATTGAAGTCTAATTTAGAAAAATTGATTAAACTAAGTAAGGAACATGATGATAGAGCACAAAATATAAATATGAAAGCATTAAAGACTATTAGGTACTAAAATTGGAAGAGAAAATCTAGTTACATTTCTCAGTGCAATCACCGTAACTATAATAATAAAATTGATTGGTAAAGAAATTAAAAATATAATCTCAAGAAAAGTTAAAAAAGCCAAAATATTTTCTGTTATGATGGATACAACGATGGATTTATCATCATATGTATCTTCAGAGTAACCAATATGATGGTTAGTAATTGTAATCATAATCACACGACACGATAAACTACGTAATTATGAATGCTAGTGAATCGTGATATTACCTAATTCAATTTTGAAAATAACAGTGTTACAGATGAACCAGTGGCGTATATAGGGAGGGGGGCCTAGTAGGCTATAGCCCCCCATCCCGAAATGTTTCAAAAAACTTAAAAATTATTTTAAACGTTTGTTATATTTTAATAGTGCTTTATGCTTATTTAGAAATACTTTTATAAAAAAAAATAGAAAATGATTTGAACTTGGTTGCATTTATTTTATTCAATTGTACTTGAATAGTTCATTAAAATGTTTTAAGGTTCTCAATTAATGGTTCAATGCTTATTATTAAGAGTTAACTAAATAAATAAATTAAATAAATTAATAATATTTATATAATTAAATACATTTTAATAAATAAATAAATTATAATTGTATAATACATTTTATTCATAGCATATTTTATTATAGAAACAGTCCAGTAGACTTATAAATATTAAATAGTCAAGTACCACTTCATATATCCTTTGTTCATAAATACAGGATTATACTTATTATAGGAAACATCGTAGCCCCTCCCGAAAATATTTTCTGTATACGTCACTGCGATGAACCTATTCATTTTACAACACTGAATAAATTTAATCAGCCATCTAACTGAATCGATTCATTCATGAATTACTCATCCTTATAACTTTAATTTGTTGTAACACCAGGGACGCAATTTTAATAAAAAAAAAACAGGGGGTGCTAAAACCCTTCTATCTTTTTCATGTTTCTTAATGGTTATAGACATCCGCCACCTGTAAAATTCAATAATTACTAAAATATTTGAATATTTCTAAATTTAAATTGTTCACTTTGATTTTATATTTTTATTGCGCGTATTATAAATTACCCGTCTGTAAACACAAATAGTTTTATAATGATGTTTGTATTTTATTTTTTTAACACTTTTTCGGATAGAAATACTGGTCCGAAAGTTTTTTCTAGGAACTTTTTAGATTTTATATTGGCGTAGGGTGGTACTTTAGATAAGTCATTTTTTAAAATCTTAATAGTTTTTCTAGGCATGAGGAAAAAACTGTCTTGAAATGGTAAAAATATGCTGTAAATAAGACTTCTACTTTTCAGATTTTAGTTATTTAGTCATAATTCCAAAGGTAATGTGGCTAGAAATTTGAAACTCTTACCCTATAGTAAAGATATTTTCTTTCGTATTTGATGAAATTTTCAAAAAGCGCTTTTGATTTAAGTATAGAACTTTAAAAATAACTTATTTTTTGAAAGTCTTTATGTAATAAAATTGTTATTTTTAGATATTAAGTGAAAATGTAATATCACCTAACTCATATATGTGTACTTACTTATTTACCGATACTAAAAAAATTTAAAAAAAAATCATTAGTCTGAAATTTATTTCATAAGCGTAAATTATTATACCGACGATTTTTATGGATTTTACTGTTTTTACATCAATTTTTAACATTAAATGTTTATTAAAAAAATTTGGTTTATCCAATCATAATAAAAATTTGAATACAGATAAATATTTGTTTTAAAAAAAAAATAATTTTCTTCGTCAAACAATAAAATGTTAAACAATTTGATAAAAAAAGAACCTACCGATAATTAGACTAAAAATGGTAAAATATACCTATAAATTGTTGATTTTTGTACTGAACCTTTGCTCAAAACCGCTTTGATAAATAAATTAATTATCATTTCTTTAAAACTCAGTATATTTACTACTAGACTTGCCATTCGTCCCGTTGTCCCGGCCAATCATTCAAATTATCCCCGTTAATAGAAGCGGAGAGAAAATAACATTTAATATTATATTATTTAATAATAAAACATAGAATAATGGCGTACCTACATTATATAATCATATTATGGTAATCTAATCGGTACCTAAAGTTATGTATAATAATAAAGTATTTATGTATTAACCAATAAATATTTAAATTACAAAACTACATACTTATTTTGTTTTCATATCAAAATAAAAAAAATAATCATTCAATATGATGGTTTAGGTTTAGGGATTTCAAAATCTGGCATCCCTACCTATTACTATTATCTAGTTCGAAGACCAAAGAAACGAAGGGCGAAATTCCACCACCATTATTTAAATAATAAATTTATAAATTTATACAATAAAAACTCTATTTTTCTATACATAATGAATAATGAGTATTTAAAGGTAAATTAACATGAACAAATTTGGGGGTGCTAATTTCGAAAATGGGGGTGCTAAGCATACCCAAGCAACCCCTCATATTTCGCCTATGTGTAACACACTTTTTATGCTCAATTTCTGTACGAAATGTCATCTTAGTTGATAGTCCTGAAGCACTGCTTCACATTCAGAGATTGTCTCACTTCCTGCCATAATTTGTTATTATTTACCCGAAAATTTACAAAATATGAACTTAAAATTGAATTTACAATTGTGTTCAGTTTAACATCTTTATGCACCATATTACTTAATAATCCGTCCATTCCTAGAAAATTACATTTTTCAAGTCCGACACGGTGACTCACTTTTTTCATACTATCGTATAACTGCTGATGTCCCACAAGGAAGCGATACCTCTCCCGACTTATTTAATATTTTCACTTCTAACATTCCTAATTCAAATTACACCATGTTAGCCACATACGTAGATGATACGGCGATACTAGCATCCGACGATGATCCCACTACAGCGGCCAATTCGCTTTAAATTACTTAATCAAAATTAAATTTTTAGCATTAAAATAGAAAATAAAAATAAATACAGAAAAATCGATTACGGTACTATTTACGTTGCGCAAAAAAAATATTCTCCCCCAATATTTCCAGGGCTCTCCTATCCCAACGTCAAGCCAAGTTAAATACTTAGGTATAGTGCTTGACAAAAGGCTAACTTGAGGCCCACACCTCAAATCCAAACGTAAAACACTTAACAGTCATCTCCACCTGCTCCGACCCATATTACAATCAAAAATGTCGATTAAAAAAAAAATAATTGTATATAAATCCTTTCTGAGGCCTATTTGGTCATACGGAGTTCAAATATGGGGAGGCGCTAAGCCTTCTCAAACTCGCACTATCCAGGTATTTCAATCCATCTCACTTCGTGTCAATACCTCAGCTCCATGGTATGTGTCAAACAATTCCCTACATAACTATTTCAAAATAGAAACAATAAATAAATTAAAAAAAAAAAAAAAAAACATTATTCAAACTTTCACAGAAAATTCCAATCATTTGATCTCCCGTCTTTCTACCGTCAATCTTCTCGACAACACGATCCGTCGACTAATCCGTAAATGGTGTCGAGATCTTCTCTAAAAAAAAACCACAATACTAAGCATACGTTAGTAAACGTATAAACTTCGTCACAGAGGGTTCTATCACTGGATGGCCTCCCTCCTCTGTCTTTTTTTTCATGTGTTTGTAAATATTTTATCTCATTAGCTTATTGTGCACGCAGCATAGATTGTTAATTTTCCTAATAAAAAAAAAAAAAAAACATAACATCTTTATGCACGGTGGTATCATGATACCACTAAATTATCATACTTGTATAAAATCGAGAAATCGTAGTTACAATGTTTTTTATAATTTTCGTTTGAGGTGCGGAACGTTACGCAGCGTTACTCATAGTTGTTAATTTGTGTTATCATAATTAGAAAAATATCAATTAACATTTAACGGTTTTGTGTTTTTCTTAATAACGAAATTTACGTTTTTTTCTTTCTTTCATTATTAACAACCAAATTATGTAAGTATCATTATAATAAATTACTTTTATTATGTAAAATAAAAAATGTGTGCTCGCACCTCTCTCTCATGTCCTATAACAATATACGAAACGTAATTCTCTCTTTCTATCTTCATTAACTTATACCTCCCCCTCAACTTCCGTTCGCTACTCCCGATCACATTTATCATAACGCTCTTGTCACCCATTCACCGGCTTACTTATACTTTGTACGCGCGTTGTTAGTAGGACCAAACAAACGGACAGCGAGAGAGCGAGTACGAATTTGTGTACCGCGTCAGTGCCTGTCTGCCACATTGAGTAATATAAAGATGCCGTTGCCTATAACTAAAACCGTATCTAAAAAATTTTTTCGGAAGGGGTTAAAAACATGTATATAGTAGTTTTATTGAATTTAGATTTTAACATTTGATATTTGGTTAAAAATAAGACAGAAAAATATTTAATCTTCTTTTATTAAAATTAATATCATATTTTCATATGATATTATGATATAAAATAAAAAGCAGTCATTGATTAATTGGAGCTTAAGTCGTTTTTGACTGAAAATATTTATGTTGGTATTAAAAATAAATAAGTATTTTAAACATTCGTAAAATATTGCAGAAATTTTGGGGGGTATCCTGGACCCCCCCCCCCAGATACGGCCTGGCCTATAACCACTGTATACCCGAATTGAAACACATCTCAAATAAAAATTATTCTATCAACTACATAAGCTTCGCTAGTTCGGATAGTACGATATTAAAAATGATAACAGTTGGTTAATAAATAATATTTGCCATCGGTTTATTATTTTTATTTTACCGCTTTTATTAACTGTAATAGTACAATATTACTCAAAACGTTAATAATTATTAATGAATGATAATAATTAATTATATTAATAATTAATAATATAATATGAATATATCATGAACAATACTAAATCATTGCAATATTTTAGTTTGTATAAAATGGTAGCACTGTACAATTATTTTGCTTTATCTTGCAGTAGAAACGGCGGCTCTGTGTTTATCTACTGTCTACCAGCGAGTGTTTTAGTGCACGCACCGTTGCCTATTACCGTCGTTGGAGAAAACGCGCACGCGATTACTGAACGAAAATGGCGTTGAATTCGCGCGACAACCAGCCCGGGAAAACTAACACTGCCGCTGTCTCGCCGCCGACTCCAGTACAGCACAAATATTCGACGAGAATCAGAACTCACAATGAAAAAAAAACATATTCAGAAGATGGGGCGTTTGGAGATGAAATTGGAGGTGTACAGTCTTATAATCTTCAAGATAAACTTGGCTCAACAAGTTATACAGATTCCTATTTTGTTAAGCGGATGGAGGGAGTAGATTTGACCATTTTCTACTTTCAAAAAAATGGTTTTACAATACCATTGTTGTTTAATGATAAGGTAGGTCTCGGTTTACAAGTTCCTACTCCAAATTTTTCTGTAAATCATATTCGTACTAATGTGGGTTCAAGAAGAAAACTAGATGTAACTGATGTAAAAACTCAAAAGAACTTTAGAATGAATTTGAAAGAATGGGCTAAGTATTATCGGGCACCAGTTAAAGACAAACTGTTAAATGTAAATCCACTCGAGTTCAGCCAAACTAAGCTAGAAAACTACGTAAAGAGTCCCAATATCGTGCGAGAATTGGATTGGATTGATTGTGTTTGGCCCAAACGATTTAAAGGAAGTCAAACAGAATCAACTAATGTAATACCTTGTTTACCCCATCCAAAGGTACAAAAGTATTGTTTGATGTCAGTTAAAGGCTCTTTTACAGATTTTCACATTGAATTTGGTGGTACATCTGTCTGGTATCATATATTTAAAGGGAGCAAAGTGTTTTGGTTAGTACCTTCTACGGATGTAAACATTAGTCTATATGAACAATGGATATTGTCTGGTAAACAGGGTGACACATTTTTTGGAGATACTGTTGAAAAATGTGAACGTGTAACATTGAACGCAGGAGATACATTTTTCATACCTACTGGTTGGATTCATGCTGCTTATACTACTAAAGACTCTATAGTATTTGGAGGAAACTTTTTACATTCTTTTGACATTCAAAAACAACTCCGTATCGCAGAAATTGAAGAGACCACTAATGTTCCTGAAAAGTTTAGGTATCCTTTTTTTACCGAAATGTTGTGGTATGTTTTGGAACGTTATGTTTACTATGGTTTGGGTATATCTCATTTAACAGAAAGTGTTGAAACTCCTCCAGCCCCAGTTAAATATATTCATTTTACTAAACAGGAACTTTATGGCATTAAAGCAATAGCAAGATATTTACATGTTTTACCATTTGATAACAAAAGAGTTCCTCCTTTTATCAAGAATGCTAGTGAGTTAATAAAAAATGGAACTGTTGTTTTTAATAAACATATAAATGACAAACCTGAAAATGTTCTAAGTGGGCAACTTATTCTTAATATGCAAGGAGTCAAAAAAAAAGAAAAAAGGTTTTATAAAAGTGCCGGAGATATGAATAGCAAAGTGAAGATCCGTAAAACAGAAAATGCTCCTCATTCAGGCCCACAAAGAAGGCGTACAAGATGTAAGCGATGTAATGCATGTAAGCACCCAGACTGTGGAGAATGTTCATTTTGTAAGGATATGGTCAAGTTTGGTGGGTCTGGTCGAGCTAAACAGACATGTGTCATGAGACAGTGTTTAACGCCAATATTACCAATTACTGCAACTTGTAAAATTTGCTCATTAGATGGTTGGGGTCAAAAAATAGTTACATCCATACAAAAAAGTGCTAAAAATGATCCTAGTAATCTTATGGAATGCAGTGTATGCTTTGAAATTGTCCATCCAGACTGTTTATTTAAACATTCTGTTTTTACCAATATTGGTAATAACAATTTATATATGTTTAATAGTTGGGAATGCCCTAAATGTTGTATGGAAGGAAAAAATTTGGGAAGCAAGCCTCGCCACTTCCGTGCTCTTAAACTATCAAACATTCACCAGAAGCGTTTTAAAAGTGACATGGACAATGATTGTAATAAAAGATTGAAAACTTTACCGGACATAGAATTAAATGAATGAGGGAAAATCATTGAAGAGAATTATTATTGAATAATGCTTTCTCAACATCATTGGTTTTCAGAGTTGAATATTTTTTTTTATTTTAAACTTTTATCAGTGCTTATAATTTGTAGTTTGTAGTTAATGGATGACAAGGTATTAATTATTTATCATTGTACTTTTCATAACTTTATTTTTATATTTAATTATTTGAAATTGGTTAGTTTTAATTTAAATTTAATATTATTTTTCTTTTTAATTATTATGAATGTGAAATGCATTTAGAAATATTTCTGTGGACCTATATTTAGTAGACATATTGATTTTTGTATGAAAGTTATTTATAAATGTTCAATAAATATCTAAGTTGATACTTACACTTTTTTATAAATGTAGTTAAAAACTTTTGATTTCTTTTTCTTCCAATTACATATTTTTTCTTATTAATTATTAGTTATTTAAAAAAAAAAAAAAGTTAGTGAAAAAAGAATCATTATGTTTCAAGTATGTTTTGTCAACAGTTAAATATTTGTTGAGTCCATTTCCCTAATTAATTGATTGTAACTATCAGTAAAAAAAAAAAAAAATTAAATGGCATACAATGCTATTAATTCAGTCGTTTTTACTTAAATGTGTTAATATATTAAAATATGTATCTATTTTAACCTAGGTGTAACTTAGACTCTTTTCATGTGGGGGCAAAAATAATTTTTAAGAATCTATACATTTGCATTATCTTATTTGAATTTAATTTTTATAATAGAATTATTATTTATAATTATAATTTTTCATTCAACTAATATTAAACAAAAATTTTTTTATATAAACTATAAGATTTAATCTAGAGAATAATAAAATTCTTCCTTTTTTTAAAAAAATCATAATTAATATTTATAATTATATAAAAATTACAAAGAAACTATTTTTCATAACAAAAATTAATATACTATTATATTTAGCTCCATATGTGTAGCAAATTAACATAATATTAAATAGGAGTGTGCTAAAAACCTCAGAACAACACAATTTTTGCTCGTAAGGGCAGTTTTCCCCATTTGCTCCTGCCAAGTTATGTAAGTATGTATTTTAATAAATTATGAAGATATTATGACATAAAAATAATAGAGAACCAACAGAAACTATCTAATACATGTTTGTAAAAAAAAAAAAAAAATTGAATGGAACTATAACCTGCTCTTCAAAAACATACAGGATATATTTTGGTTATATTTTTAAATTACATTATTTTATAAAGTTTAAACATAACAGAATTATACTTCAGATTTATGACTAGTATTGATTTTTTTAATAAAATAAAATAAAGATGTAAGATAAAGAAAAAAGATTGTATTATTATTTTTCCATTCTAAAAGTGTGTTTTATTTAAGTAATTTATTATTAAATAATGCCTTATTGTTTTATGTAAAAAATTATGTTTAAAATAAATTCTCATTTAAATATCTTCCATGATGAGAAATCTGTAAATAAATTAAATTATTTACCTATTTATATGCAATTTTATTGACTTTATATATACCTCATGATGAATATTTAGTTAAAAACCCGAAATATTTTACAAATATAATAATAACTAACTTCTTATTTAATTATTCTATATAGGTATAAACTATTTATTCATTTATTTATGTATTAATATACAAGTATTAATCATTTACTAATTTTTAAACTTAATTAAATTTATTATTATTTTATTATGATTGATAATAATTTATTAGCTAAACTATTATGTCTTATTCTTTACCACAGTTAACATTCAATGGAGTTTCAATTCCTCTACCATAGTTAAATACCCCAGGTATTACGGTAAATAAACAACTAACATGGACCCACCGTATAAAAAATTACAAAACTTTCTCTGTACAACTGTATTCGTACCGTCAAACCTCTAATAAACACACTTCACTTAATATCAAACTCTTCATTTACAAAACCTTATTGAAGCCAATTTAAACATATGGTCTACAGCTTTAGGGTAGTGTAAAAATATTCAACCTTAATAAAATTTCAGAATATAACCTTGAAAAAATGAATAAATGATCCCCCATATTTATATATGAAACTATTCTCTTCATTTAAAACTATTAATGAAGAAACCAAATACTTCTAAATCTTTTTTGCACTCATATCCTTTGATTGAAAAACTTTCATTCATACTAATTCCAGATAGGCCTGCTAAACGTTTAAAACACAAATAAAACAGAGATCTACTACAAAAATAAATAAAAAAATAAAATAAAAATTCACCTTTAGTTTGTAAATCATTTACCTGAGTGTCATCATTGGATGGCTTTTTTTCTCATTTATATTTTTTATTCATGTTATATTTACATATTATTTGTACTCATTATGTCTACTGAAAACGATATATAGTCGATTATACTAATGACTTAAATCAAATTCACTAATGATACTTATACTTAATAAAAGAAAAAGTACTATTTAAATGTACCATTTTTAAAAGTTAAGTACCAACCATGCTTAAGAAGTACTTTTAATGAATACCTATCAAATAATCATATAATTCATATTTATTTTATTTCAATGCATAAATTGGAAACACTTAATTATTAAAAAATACAAATTAAATAATATTTTAAATGAATTTTTAAATTTAATTGACCTTTATAACCAAGTTGATATGAATGAATGAGTTCTTAAAAATTATGTGAGAGATATGTAAAATCCCATTGATTATTACAATGACAAAGAATTTTTAAACAGGTTCAGGTTTGTAGCATAATATTTTATAAAAATAAAGTAAATAATTAATCAATTTAATGCATTTACAAATATTACCAATATTAAACTATTCACCATTGCTATGCATAATAATATTACGAATACATACATTGATGAATTCACTTGATTTTCCAAAACTTCAGTGATAAAATGTTTAATGTCTCTTACATTTAACACTGAAAATGCAATGAGGAGTTTGCCAGTTCTACCATTTATTAAAATTTTAGCAGTATTGCGTTTTTACGGAACAGGCAATTTTCAAGTAAGATTATCAATTTTCACAACATTTATATTAGAATAAATATAATAATATTAGGTAGGTAGATATATTAAATTATTTTTTTTAATATCTTATTTCAGTTAGTTTCTGGTTACTTGCTTGAAATAAGCCAACCAACAATAAGAAGAAATGTTAAACAAATCTCTAAACTAAAAGTAAGAAGCTTAATAAAATTTATGAAATTTCCATCAATCATAGAAGAACAAAGACAAAAGCAATTGATGTTTTATGATATTGCTAGTAATTTTATAAAAATCCTATAAATAATTATTCACCTATCTATAATTATATTTTGTTAAAACTAAATTAATGATTTAAATATATAATTTGTTGATGTTGATGGAACCGTAAACTGTACTCACATACCAATACAAAGTCCAGAAGGAGACCAACCTTTAAGAAATAGGAAAGGTATATTTTTAATTAACGTACAAATTGTTAGTGGTCCCAGGTGTAAGAATCTAGTTATTGTTGCAAGGTGACCAGGTTCTGTTCACGAAAGTTGTATTTTTAAGTAAAAGATTATAATTTATACTATTCATTTATAACATTTATAACCTACTTTAAGTTAATATTACCTACCCTAAATTTTAGCAATAGCAATATCAATATGAGATATTAATAAAAGCAATTACCAGGATTCCTTTTAGATGATGGTGGTTATCCTCAATTACAATATTTATTTACTCCAGTCCTAACCCACAAATTAGAACAGAAAAAAATATTTAACAATAAGTTAGTTGACTCAGTTTTTTTATTTTAAAACACACTATTTTACTGAACTAATTCCAAAATTGATTTTTATTTTTCGTCAGCGGAATATGCTATTCATTTCCCCATGACGATAACAAATAAATAATAATATTTTTAAATAAAATATAAAAAGAATTTAAAACTTAAATAATATTGAATAGATGAATAGTATAAAATCACAAAATAATAAGTAGATAAAAACAATATGATCAAATATACAGTGGAACCTTGATAAATCGAAAAAAATTCTGTTCCCTAGTGTAAACCTCGATCACTCGAAAAAAAAACTATAGATAACTCGAATATAGACGTATAATGACGGATAGGTTATAAACATTTTTCTAAACGTTCCGATGATTTTTTTTTCTAATCGCATTTATTGTGTTTATCATTGTATGTATTAACTAATCTCGGCACACAACAATATTTTTCATTTGTATCGGTATTGCCAGTTGCGATCGATCGATTACGCGTGTGCGGTAATTTTATGTAATTGTGTTTATTATCATATGTATTTTATTAACCTCGGTACACAACAGAATTTTTCATTTATATTGGTATTGCCAGTAGTGCCAGCGCTAGGGGAGGACAAATAAGATATATGTCCAAGGCCTCGCGCATGTTAAAGGGCCCCTGTAATTTTAAATTATCATCTTAATACCGTTAGACACATTGACATTTTATATCTTAAAGCAGGGGTCTTCAACCTTTTTATGCAGCGGACACATATTATTTTTTTTTTTAATTTTGCGGGCCGCAGGATAAATCAGAAATTGCTTCTGCGTATTTTTCCGTTGAAGTGACATTGTATTTTGACAAACATGGGAAGTGAGTAGTGTTATTTTTTCTTAGCTGAATTTCCCACACCAGAAGTTTATTTTCAAAAGATTTAATATGGTCGAATAAATTATGTATTAATTGGTTTTGACGTTGCAAGCGTAAATTCAGTTCATTCAAGTGCAATGTAATATCCGTAAGATAGGCAAAATCATTTTTCCATTCTGAATCATTAAGTTGTTCAAATTGTTTTCCTTTACTTTCAGCAGATACAAAAATTTCATTTTTTAAATCAAAAACCCTTTTCAATACTTTTCCTCTGCTGAGCCAACGGACATATGTAAAATAGATTACATCACCTTGTTCAGCATCTATTTCACTTAAAAAGTTTTTAAATTCTCTATGATTCAATGCTCTTGATCTGATAAAATTTACTATTTTTACAACATCTTTCATAATAGTTTGAAAACCAACGGATTTTGCACATAAATTTTCTTGGTAGATAATGCAGTGATATTGCATCAGTTGTAAAAGCACCACATGTACTCATTTCTTTTTTAATTAGCGCTACGAGCCCTTCATTTTTTCCAACCATTGATGGAGCTCCATTTGTTATAACTCGAAAAAGTTTATTTAATTTGA